GCGTTTGTGCTCTGACCAAGCATCGTAGCTCTCTCCATGAGTCCGGTCAGTGCTGCGACAATACCCATATAAAGTAGAGCCCGACCACCTAAGACGTGCCACGGCATCATCCTCGTTCTTGTTCCCGACGATGATTGCGGCGCTAAGAATGTGAACGCACCGAATAGCCACTGTGAAATTATACAATTTTCAACTATTTTATCCAAGTTTTTTTTTTTATGTAAGTTTAGGTAACGTTAAATTAATATTTATGAAGTAATTAAATAACCTGGACGCCGAGGAGGATGAAAGTGGTGAGACCGATCCAGGAGTGAAGAGAGACCATGTCTTTTAGGTTCAATTTGTCGTGGAATCTAAAGGCGGCGCAAATTCCGACAATACCTAGAACTAAGCCTATTAAGTGAAGCCCACCGTGAACCATTTTCTGAACTTGGTGCGACGCGTACGCCGTTTTGTACGTCATCATTGCTGCATCACATGATCAACCAATCATTTTCAAAAAGAAATTAATTAAACATGCAAAATCAGGAATGTAACTTTTGTTCTGCAGAAAATCACGTGTGTACGGTTTAATTAATCAATATATCGACCGCCAAATAAATCTATGAATAACACTAAGCCAAAAGAAAATCATTCTGTATATGGACGAAACCTAACGAGATTGAACTAGATACAGTGGTTCGGTGGCAAATTTCAGCTAATTAAACTTAACTGGTTCTATACTCAAATCATCTGTATTTTGTTGTTATTTTCTTAATTAGATCGTAGAGAAATTACCTTGGCCCACGAGGAAGAGAAATCCACAGTACATGAGAAATGGGTGCACCTATATATCAACCATTTCCGAACCAAAAAAGAAGCAATTAGAAAAAGATATTAATTCAGTTAATAGCTAGGTAAAAGGATTGAATTCTTTCACGAATGTATACATTTTTTTAGATCAAAATACATACATATATCGTTTTCAAAAAAAAAAAAAAAAAAAAAAAAAATACATACATATATAAAGTGTAAAAAAATACAAACTTACATTTAAAACCTTAAGGGGGTTGTCGGAGCCATACTCGATGCCTTCACGGTAATGGAGAAGCCAAATGAGCATTAGAACAACGGCTAAAATGCCAAAGAAATGAGCCACAAGTGTTGGAAGCGACGAGTGACGCTTTGAAGTTGTTCGATCCCCCGAGAGATTCATTCTCTGGCTTGGTTTTTGTTCGAACCACTTCTTGTCCAAGAAGATGATGACTCAATCAATGAAGAGAGAGAGAGAGAGAGCGAGACAGAGAACAAAAAAGAAGAAAAGAGAATGTGCTAGATAGAGTATCACCTGTTCTGTCGGGTAAGGATGATATCTAAAAGGGTTATTTATACTAAAGTGATTGTTTTGTGAAAACAACACAAACAATATATAAATGGAAACTTAAAATCACACGTAAGTTTTTACGCCAGATATGTCTAATATATATGTAACCAATGCTGATGGAATTGACCCATCCGGTAAGATTGATTCGACCACAATCCGGATAAAATTGTGGTTTAGAATCCTTGAACTCATCCGCAAGTCCAATTTTTCAAATGCTGCACAAAACTGAAGTATTGTGCCATTTTCATATGATTTTTTGTTTAATATATAAAAAAATTGACGTTTAAAAATGTTAAGTATCCAAAGCGATGATTTTTGTCTATACTCATTCGATTCTTATTTTTCTGAAGGGCCTAAAATATTTTAAGAATTGGTATAGGAAACCAACACAATTGGTAATTTTTTTCTAGTATTTTACAATTGTTATGCAAGATATTGGTGAACGAACTAATAGCTTACGTTTAAGGGTTTGGAATAAAAATAAAGAGGCTTCTATAACGAAGACAGCTAAGGGTTTCAACTTTCAATGTTTTGGAAATTTTCGTTCGTTTGATTCTAATCTCATCTATCTAACTCACTTTGGCCCTACCTTCTATTGCCTTTTTCTAGAATTGCAATCTTAATTATTTGATTTAAGAAAATATTTATCTATATGTTGAATAAAGAGAGCGATCAAACACGTACAAATAGAGGAGCCAGAGAACTCTATTACTGCGTCCAAAGATGTTTTGTTTATTCTTAAATTTTGAGAGGTAGGACAGAGTTACAAGATGTAAGAAACAAGGCTGGTGATCGCTTTGACATAAAGAGCGGCTGAATAATAATTTTAAATTTGTAAAACATAAAGATGGATTCAACTAGGGTGAGAGGCAAGGAAGGTATCCCCAACCAAACTATACAAATCGTTACTATATAATAAAAATGAAAATACTATCTAAAGTACTTAAGGATTTGGAAATACAAAAAGTAGTATAAATAAATTTTGGTGAACTAAAATTTGAGCCGAGAATTAGTTTGGTTTATAGATTTTCTTAATTGTACCAAAGGACTCGTTGCGTGGGTCGCTATAATCTCCGGCTTTCTCAAACTTGGAAAACTTTTGGTCAATACACCGACAATTTGTTTGTTTTTGTCTTTCGACTAAAACAATGTCAATTTATGGTCAACTATATTGACCAAAATATTATCAAACAGATAGTTTGAACGAGTCAACAATATGATTATCCTCGATGAATATAATCTAAATATTTATGTGATAACATCTAGGAAGTATAGTATCTCTTTGAATATATGATCAAAAGATTGTATTCTGATAGTTTTTCAAATGAATTAGTTCATTCAAATAGCATAAATATATGAAAGAATCTATGATCAATTATTGTGAGAACTATATCAGGCTTTGCAAAATGAAGGCCCATTCCATAGTTGTTTCTGATGGTACGTAATCGCATGGCCTTTATTGCTTACAATTATCAATCATATCACTAGACAATAGTTTACCCGACTTATATTATTGCGCTAATTGCACAAAACCAAATTTCGGATCGTAGCCGTTGGATCCAGCAAAAACTTAAAAAATTACCCACATGCATGGGTGGAATATCCCCATAAAGAAATTAACGGCTGCGATTGGCCAACGTGAGATTTGATGCAAACAAAAAAAATCTCACGTGAATATTCCACATTGGGATCTTCCATTAGATTCCATGAGCTCAGAGCAAACGGCGCACACGTTAGCAGAAAACTCTTTTTCTTCGCTAATTTGCTCCCAGCAGACTTGTTGGGACGATGACCGTTGTTGTGAGTTCCCAAATTATTATCATTTTTAACTTTTCAAACAAAAAACAAGAAGAAACAAATGTTTATTTTGTTTTCGTTACCAAATCTATACACAATAATGATAATGTAAATTGCTTTATTTATGTAACGCGTGAATTGACGTGGACCTACTTACCTGACAGACACTGGTATTCGTCCACAAAGGGTATTAACGGCGTCAATGTTGCCGTTAATTGCGCTGCAGAAATAATTTATCTGTTTCAGTGACATTACTTACCAGTGGGCACCATCGAGAGAGGTCCAACGGCTACTTGATGCTGACGTGGACGAAAATGTATATACGTCAGCACTCACAGGCCATTCACAAAAGTAGCCAAATTTATGTAATGTGTATAGTTCATACAAATCATAGTTACTTGATTATAGTTCCAGTAACTAATTAAAGTTGCGTTAGTTCACTAACCTGTACGACACCGTTTTTATCAAATGGCCGGCACCTATCGGGCATTCATTGGCATAGCTACGTGGTGTCAAACGTTACATGATCCAAGTCCTAACCACTGTTCGATGATGCCACCGTAACGTGTCGGAGCAACGTTTTAATTTTATTTGGCGATGGGTTTATTTTGTACGCGAATCTCGTTCTATCGAGGATCGTTTTGTTTACTAAAAGGCAAATCCATGAATTATAATCACTTGATAAGGATATTTCAGAAATGGATCATCAAAATGTTACGGCAAATGGAGCAGGTAACGGTTACACATCACTTTTTATTTAATTTTATTATCTTACCTCGACACCTAAAGCTTCGACACAACTTGTTGTTTCTTTTTCATACTCAATGATTTCACTTTTTTCTAATAAATGTACCCGTGTGTCCCCAACTCACCATTTCTATCGACACTTGCATGTAAATAAATTTCTTTAATTTAGATATGTATTTTGAATAGCTAAAAAAATATTGTTTTATGATTCTTTTATAGGAATACTTCTGTTGATAAGATTTTTTTTAGCAATTTAAAACGACAAAAAAAACGATTTTTTTAAAAAAGATTTTCTTTTTTTTACATAAAATGTTACAATGATTGAAACATATTTTGTTTACAGAGCTTGTAAACTTTCATCTGTATAGATTTTTAGTTTTTTTTCTTTTTGTCTGAAAAGAAAAAGATTGTAGTGTTAGTGACTCTACCTGTGACTATTTGTCGGGACACATGTGTAAGCAGCAAAGCACCCTATGCTTTCTTGCTACTCTTGTTCTTTTCTCCCCTGTCTTTAATATCTTTAAGAAAAAAGATCTGATCGTCCAAAAAGTAAAAACCCATCCTTCAATGGGGAAAAAAGTAAGTAAATTTTGTATATGCTAATAAAATTGTAATAACTTATAAGTCGATATTCCATGGATTTCTTTAAAAACATGTAAAATGGACAAAATAATCCTAGTTTAAGATTCCATCAGTCTAATTGCCAATTAGTATTTCTTTTTAAAACATGTAAAATGGAAAAATAATCCTAGTTTGAGATTCCATCAGTCTAATTGCCAATTAGTATCTCTTGAAAAAAAGTTATAGCCTTTAGAAAATCTTTTACTGGTCCAATGCAATAAATAAATAAAAGTAATTATGGAAAAAAACAAGCTGACATATTATTTATGAAGATTAAAAGTATAAACCAACCATAGCCAGAAGTACTCTGCCTCATATACTATTTCTTTCACTATCCTCTCGCTCTCTCTCTCTCTTTCAACACAGCTCCAAAGCTCGTCCTCAAGACGCTATTTATCCATTTATATCTCTTCCCTTTTCGTCCTCATAATACTATTATACACAGAAACGTTTACACTCACAAGTCACAACAAAAATGGGTTTTATAACTCGATTTTTAGTTTTCATGTCACTCTTCACCGGTTTGGTTTCTGGATTTGCTCTACAAAAGCTTCCTTTTATACAGTTCGACGAAGGTTACACACATCTCTTTGGTGACCAGAATCTGATTGTTCACAGAGATGGAAAATCTGTCCGGTTAACGCTTGATGAGAGAACCGGTTTGTGTTCTTGTTCCTCTGACTTTGTTCTGTTTCTGTTTCTTTAATTTTTTTTAACATGATATTTTTCTTCAATTATGTTCACAGGTTCTGGATTTGTCTCAAATGATATTTACTTGCATGGCTTCTTCAGTTCTTCTATCAAATTACCAGCAGATTACTCTGCAGGAGTTGTTATCGCCTTTTATGTAAGCAACAATCTCTATTCTCTTTGATTTTACATAATCCCACCATGGATATTCATTAGTTTTGAGCTTTTTGGGTCCACTCAAAACTAGATATTTCTCATGATTTTTTTTTTTGCGCCACTGATTTTAGAAAGCACAATCTTGAAACTTTTTTTTTTTTTGTTTTTGTCAGCTATCAAATGGAGACTTGTATGAGAAGAATCATGATGAGATTGATTTTGAGTTTTTGGGGAATATTAGAGGCAAAGAATGGAGGATTCAGACGAATATATACGGAAATGGAAGCACACATTTGGGCAGAGAAGAAAGATATAATCTTTGGTTTGATCCAACAGAGGATTTTCATCAATACAGTATCCTCTGGTCTCTTTCTCACATCATGTAAGTTAAAAACAACAAACACATCTTAATTAGTTGATAGTTTAACAATCTCCCAAAGCTCATAATGATTTTGAAACTCAACTAGAGGATGTAGCAGTAGTTGGATTAAAAAAAAAACAGAGGATTTAGATGGCTGATTAAAGCCCTTGGATTAGGCTTTATGAGTCTTTTAATGATCTTGGGGATGGAGACTCTTTAGCCGTTACTTGATATTTCTATTTAAGGAAAATTGGGTTTATGCGAGATGGTGACTTGAATTTAATTTTATATGTAAAGCTGGTAGATTTAGTTTCTTGTTTTAGAAAGTTGTTTAATTTACAGCTTTCGACTTTTGGCAACAACAGAGACCTAAACAGAGTATTTTGGAACAAAGAATCTAACTCCAGTTCGCTAAAAGCTGTATTTTTACCAAAAATGTCATTGTTGAAAATGTCATTCTTAATTTTATTTTATTGCAGATTTTATGTAGACAATGTTCCGATCAGGGAAGTCAAACGCACGGCGTCAATGGGTGGTGACTTCCCGGCGAAGCCAATGTCTTTATACGCAACCATATGGGATGGCTCCAAATGGGCCACTGATGGAGGCAAGTACGGTGTAAATTACAAATATGCCCCTTACGTCGCTCAATTCACTGATCTGATACTCCACGGCTGCGCCGTTGACCCCACCGAGAAGTTTCCGAGCTGCGAAGATGGAGCGGTCGAGAATCTCCAGCTAGCTTCAGAGATAACGGAGTCTCAGAGGAACAAGATGGAGATTTTCCGACAGAAACACATGACTTATTCGTATTGTTACGATCATATGAGGTACAAGGTGGTTTTGGCGGAGTGTGTGGTGAATCCGGCCGAGGCTAAGCGTCTCAGGGTTTATGATCCGGTCACGTTCGGTGGGATCCCTCGCGGTCACCGTCGTGGGAAGCACCGGAGCAGGAGCCGTTTAGCCGGAACTGAGTCAATATGAACCGGTGTATATTGTTCAGCTAGAGGGCATTTTTGGCATTTTCTGTCTTGTATAGGAATATGAATTATGGACTGAATAATGGAATGACACCGGGATATTTTGATTTCCATAAAAATTATCGTTTAACAAAATATTAAGAAATTAATAATATTTCATTTTTCAATAAGTAAATAAAATTGGCCATTTTATACTTGAGATATTCTACACAAAAGAAATAATAGAATGATGAGAATATAAAGTAAACTAAAAATATAATGTAAAACTTGCATACAATGTCAATAGAAATGATTTTCTTGTCTTTTGACTTCTTCATCTAAATAAGCATATATGTTCTCATTATCTTGGTTTTCAACAAAATTGAGCACGTTTGTTTACCTTGTAACAAATGTTCAAATATGGGTCCAACTCCAATAAATATTGTTGACTTAAATAGTCTATTTTATGTAACCATATTACACATTCAGTACATTCACATAAACACAAGGTGTCAATGATAATGTCATTTCGAGGTACATCGATGATAGAACTTGTGGGTCCGTTTGGGATGACTTGTGTTGCGTGTGAGGTAAATCTTAACTTTAACAAATGGTGTCTCCACACCACATACATAGCATCTGCTAAGTGAAGGGTATTTATATAGCCAACAAAAAATGATTTTTGTTTCATTTTATTATTTTGAGAATCATGTAATAGATCAATGCCATATGTCTTTCACTCTTTCTTAAAAAAGTTCAATACCATACAAAAACTTAACTAGTGGTTTGGTTAGGATCACATAAAGAAAAGTATGATAACAACGGCAACAATGATCGATAAACGTGTCATCTTTGTATATGCGGACTTGGTTTCCCGACCAATAATTAATGATCCTAATGACTTTGGTAAAGAAAGAATAAAACTCGTAATTAGTGGGAGCTAAAGCTTGGAGTATTAGTATTAGTCAAGATCAGCTTTTACATAATTGTTTGTCGACTACTACTAATCTGAATTATCTAAAGTTTCATCAATGAAAGTTTGAAACAACCCATAAAGTCAAATCTCATTTATTTAGATAACTCCACCAAAATTCGTCCTCTTTTTAGAAATATGTTGTCAAATGGACCCAAACTTTAACAAAAGCCGTAACTTACAAAATCTATCTCATGGGGCCATATATTGGGATTCATATATAATTTTATCTTAATACTACGGGCCATAAGGCCCATTTACTCCAAAGCAAAAAAAAAAGGTGACGTGATAATCATATTTTAGTAAATCAGCATCTTTAAAAGGATGCGGAATCTCGATTTCGTTCCAAATCTGATATGCATAAAATAGAGGGACCTAATATAAACAAATTCGATTAGTCTACTGAACTAATCGAAATTTAGCATATGACAAGAGAAAATTGTAAAATTGCGTAATTGTCAAAGTCCGAATTATTAAAATTTCTATTTTGTTGTGACAATCCGAAGAAGAAAAGAAGAGTGTTAAAGAGAGTGAGAAATGTGAAGTTGATCAAAGCCACCGTTTAAGACTGTTAAACGCATGCGTCTTAACTAAGCCAAAACAAATCTCTCTTATTACCCTTTTTACACACACACCTCTTTCCTCAAAAACCCTAGATCTCTCTCTCCTTCTCTCTCTTTCTCTATCTCTTGTCTTTTGCCTTTTTTACGAAGCTTCCCTTAGTTTATACATTACTCTCAGCTCTCTTTTATTTACACAGCTTCACGTTGAAGACGAGTTTCTCTATTTGCCAGATCTGTTTGTCTTTCACTCTTCATTTCCATCATAAACCCTTCACATTTCTGGTGATTGCTCCTCTAATTTCGTTTTGGGTTTTATTTGTTTTCATCCGAAATTTACCTCATTTCACATAATTTCTTCGTGGGTTTTGTTTGAATTACGTTAATTCCCAAGATTTAGTGTGTGATCTCGTTGAATTCGAAGTAAAAATCTGATCTTTTTTTTTTTTCTTGATTCTGCAGATCTGTTTGAAGCAAGCTATGATGACTTGTGTTTGTTAGAGAGAAAGAAAAAAGGAACACTTTTTACTAAAGATACTTGCTTTTTTGGTTTGTTCTTGATTGTTGCCACGAAAATGGCAATGCCACCGGGAAATGTTACTACTCCGTCTGAGAAATTGCAGTTTCCTCCTCCTCCTGCTAATTGGATCCCAGACGAGCGAGATGGGTTTATCTCTTGGCTTCGTGCGGAGTTTGCTGCGGCTAACGCGATCATCGATTCTTTATGTCAACATCTACAAGCAATTGGGGATCACAACGAATACGAGTCTGTGATCGGAAGCATCCATCACCGTCGTTTAGGCTGGTCTCAAGTTCTTACTATGCAGCAGTTTTTCCCAGTTGCAGATGTTTCTTACAATCTTCAACAGATTGCTTGGAAAAGGCAACAGCAAATGCCACCTCAAAGGCATTACAATTCTGATCAGGTTGGGAAATTTGGAGGAAGGAGATCAGGGCCTGGGTTTAACAAGCATCATGGTGGTGGTTACAGAGGAGCTGATTCAATGGCGAGAAATGGGCATAACTCCTATTCGAATTCGGATTTCCATAGCGTTAGCAGTGATCGTGTTGAGCATCGGGAGGAAGCTAAGCTAGCAAGTGATGTTAAGGCATTGTCTGTTGCAGAAGAGAAGAGAGGTAATCTAATAGTCTTTGTTTTGGCTTCAAGGCTTTGCTTGCTTGTAAGGAAAGTAAACTTTTTTGCTGTTAATTCCTATCTGCAATTTGGTTTTGAGATAGTGCATTGTGTATTGCTGAACATGTTGATGGTGGAAGATTCGTGTTTAATCTGTGGTTTAGTCTCTAGACTCTCTGCTGTACAGATAATGTAAGTTTGTTTTTGTGTTTGTTTGTGGGATAGAGGGTAGTGAGAAACCGAAGAGTGATAGTAAAGTCGGGAAAAAATTGGAAAAATCTGAAACTCAAGAGGAGATAGTGAACCATAAGTGTAACTCGGCTTCTAAAGGTACTTTGGAAAACCTGACTTCTCGGTTTTACACCTGATATTAGACTTTGTTGTAATGTTCCGTTTATGTGTGTTGCTTCTTTCTTTCAGATAACAGTCTCAGTTCTGAGCAAAAGGAGGAGGAGAAAGATAAAGAGTGTCCTGCAAGCATGGCAAAGACTTTTGTGGTCCAAGAGATGTATGAAGCGAAAATGGTGAGTGGATCTTTTTTAAATATCTGTTTATAGTTTACGGCTACGACACCAAATTGCTGAGTTTTGTTGAGTAGGTTAATGTTGTCGAAGGATTGAAGCTATACGACAAAATGCTTGATGCAAAGGAAGTTTCTCAACTCGTTTCACTTGTAAACAATCTGAGACTTGCTGGAAGAAGAGGTCAACTTCAAAGTAAGAATCTTGTTTACCCTACTGTAATGATTTAACTTGTTTCTACTCAGGTCTTAAACCGTTGGTTAATCGGAAACAGGTGAGGCGTCGTATGTGGGTTATAAACGGCCAAATAGAGGGCACGGACGTGAGATGATCCAACTCGGTCTTCCCATAGCTGATACGCCGCCTGATGATGATAGTATCAAAGGCAAGTCCTTTAAAATGTTCTTTGCTGATAATTTCTTTGTATTGGTTATTGAAAGATATCGGTTTTATGCAGATAGAAGAATAGAGCCAATCCCATCAGCTCTTTCAGACATCATTGAACGTTTGGTCTCAAAGCAAATCGTACCTGTGAAACCAGACGCTTGCATCATTGATTTCTTCAATGAGGTTAAACTGATTGCTAAATTCTTTGCAACCTTTAAAACTATCTGTTTCTGTTTTCTTGACAAAGTAGGAGTTTTCTTGTGTCTTCTCTGTTTGTGAATCATAGGGAGATCACTCGCAGCCTCATATGTTTGTTCCCTGGTTTGGACGACCCATCAGTGTCTTGTCCTTGTCTGAATGCGATTATACATTCGGAAGAGTCATTGTCTCTGACAATCCCGGCGACTACAAAGGCTCTCTCAAGCTGTCTCTCTCTCCCGGGTAACCGATTCATATCACTTATTCTGTAAAGTCGAGATCTTTCAATCCTTTTATCATCAATTATATTCGGTATTTTGAACTTTGAACAGATCGGTTCTTTTGGTGGAAGGCAAATCCGCAAATCTTGCCAAGTATGCAATTCACTCAACCCGAAAGCAACGGATACTCATCAGCTTCATCAAATCTAAACCGAGAAACTCTGTAACTGGATCTAACTGGGGACCACCGCCTAGCAGATCGCCAAATCACCACATCCGTCACCCAACTGGCCCACCTAAACACTACCCTGTTATCCCGTCCACCGGTGTCTTGCCCACTCCATCTCACCGCCCACCAAATGGAGCTGCTCAGCCGATTTTCATCCCCCCTTCTCCTCCACTTGTCGCTCCAATGCCGTTCCCAGGTGGTGTTCCACCCGGGCCAACGGTCTGGCCACTGCTGCCACCTCATCCACGACACCAGCCTCCACCACAACCTCGAATGCCCATCCCAGGCACTGGTGTGTTCCTCCCACCCGGTTCAAACCAAGAACTGGTTACACAAGGCTCCCTAGAGAAAACCGACAACAGCAACACTGCAGAAGGAAAGTTAGATGTGAAGACGAAAGAAGAAGCTCGTAACGGAATTGCTGGAGGGGAATGCGATGGTAGCAACGGGAAACAGAGCAATTAGTAGCTGAAGAAGAGAAGATAGAGCAAAGAGAGAAACTAGTTTTTGGGAGATGAAATCTGAGGTGCAGTTTATAAACTGTAAAAAGAGCGGCGAATTCGATGGAAATGTCGTTTGTTTTTGCCACTTGAGAAATTATTTTTAGGAGAGAGTCAAAAACAAGGAAAAGAGACGAGCAAAATTTACCCGTTTTCTACTCTCTAAAATCATTTATATCTATCCTTCTATTAAAATTCTCTGTCTCCCTCGTTACGCTTACACTTTGATCTTTATACATATACCTTTGTTTTTAGCAAAAGTGTCTCAAGAAAAATGACTTTTTTTTTTTTTTTGAATGATTTCTTGGGATTCAAAAGCTTAAGCCATGAGCCTTCTCCAGCTGTGTTCAGTCCCATTGTCCATGGCAATGGCCCATGTCTTTATTCCTTTCTCCATTCATAAAGTCATTAAAATAACATAAAGCCTTATGAAATAATATCATATTTCTTTTGGGAGAAAATTTGGTATGAGCAAAAGTGTTCTTACGATCAAATATGAGAGATCCTGGGCTTGTGAAATTATTTGACAAAATCTCATCCACAACATAGATTGTATATCATTTATCTTATCATATTATCCATTATTTACTATTTCTTATCTACAATTCTACATATACATGATTGAAGAGAATCTGAGCATAGGACAAAAGACATGTAACATGTAATAGAATCATTTTATCAATCTTTATGGATGAGTATCGGACCCAGTTCTGTCCCCACAACTACACAACAGAACAGTGCAGGCATGCATGCTTCTGAAAAACTTGTTGATCAAATTGTATAAGAACTAACGAAATTAATTTACTTTTTAATATGCTCAGATTCGCTATGTATATGCATGTAGTCTTTCTCTACTTTAATTTAATAAAGATTTTCATTGACTTCTTTGTCTGATGCTGCTGATACGTTCTTGTCATATCATAATGTTATTCGAGAATTCAACGAAATACGATATTTAATAATCATTTGGCAGTACATCATAAACAATTACGTCCGATTAAATTGGAATTAAGAAGCGAAATAAAGCGCCTCCTTGTAAGTCTTCCAATGATGCAAAACGTGCCCAAAAACATCATAAAAGACTACACGCAGTTCAGCTTCTGAAACGTGAACCGACATAAATCCTTGTCCGTCGTAGTAAAACTTCATCTGATCTTGTGGTTCCAAGTAGTTCACGTCACCTCCTTTCCACGCCTTGGATCCACCTCCACTCGTCATAAATTGAATGTTACTATATGCAACCAAAAATGATGACATTTTTAATTTGTTTGTCCTCCCGTGGACCCGTACGTTACAATAATTGATTAACAAAAAAAAGCTTACGAACAAATAAATAAATTTATTCTACCTGTCCATGCTGCTTATGTGCTCTAAGCAATGATCATGCCCGTTTACGTAGAGATCCACTTCATTTGCCTAGTAAATCGAGAACAAAAAAAAACAAAAACCTGATTTAGATCGATATTTTCTATTTCACGTGCATTTTAGTGAAAACTTTATGAATTGAATTGTTTTGTTACTTGGAGAATAGGTAAAAGGTGCTTCTCCAACTCAATGGTGTTCCCGTGGTGGCCTGCGCTTTTAATCGTATGGTGACCAATCACTATTTTCCACTTTGCAACTGACTCTCTCAATGCCACGTCGACTTCCTATATTATTAGAGTTGCATTGCCATTAGCCTAATTGGCATATTGTTCTCCTATCATTTCGAATTACAGAACTAAAAACGCAATTCCATTTCAAAACAGACAAAAACTGTGTTTTAACATCCAATCATAACTTTGTAAAAAAAAATAAAAAAAAATCCAATCATAGCAAATGAAAAAGGAAAGTTTTGCATAAAAAATTGTTACCGTTAAGAGATTGTTCAGATATGTCTGCCTAGGTAATACGCCGCTCCAGTCATAAACATGCTTATTTGGTTGGATAAAGTATTTATCAACGAATGGAGTTGTGTCCACGAACAAAAAATCGACGATCTCTGTTCGACGAAAGGAACAAAAATAAAAATAATTGGAGGATTAAATAAAATGTTTCTAAAATTTTAAGAGATATTTTGTTTGAGGAATTACCAGCATTTACAATGAAAGATCTCATGCAAACCCATCTGTTGTCCAAAGCCCTGAGCATAGGGCTAAGTTGTGCCCTGACGTCACCTCTATAATCATGATTTCCTAAAACTATAGGTTAAAGAAAATATAATTAACACATTGGACCATATATCGTTGAGAAATTAAGATCCAACGGATTTGTTTTTTTAAAAAATTATTAAATACTAGTATACATAGTACTCATTTACCACTATACCAAGGTTTCTGCAAGCTCGGAGTGGTATAAATGCTAGAAAAAGAATCTTGAAATAGAGGATCGTGCAAGCTGGCTAACCCATTGTCGTAAAAATTATCTCCAGTAGAAATTACAAAATCGATGTCTAATTTCTTTCCGATTTCTCCCATCTGTTAAAATTTTGTGTGAAATAATTTAGCATAAAAATAATTAAAAACAACAGTATAAAAGAAATCATCAAACTCGATGTCTAAGCAAAAACTTTTTTATCATTGAGTTCATCTGCAAAAAAAAAGAAAAAAAAAATCATAGGTAGAATATCTTCGTACACTAAAGGTGTTTTTCTTAACACAGAGTCTTTCAAATTGGCTTTCTTTCTTTTTATGGTATCTAACATGGTGTTCTAGAAATAGTAATATACTAATATATATATATATATATATATATAGATCAGAATTGGTAATATATATTGATATTGATATTGAATAATTAAAACATAAGGGAACAGAATTTGATCCTCATCATATCACATATGCTCATGAAGGCAATACATATATACGTACACTTTACACACACTATTGAATATGCATGATATATATATGTGAACATGCGAAAAATATATATAGAAGTAAATAACTTGGAAGTGAAAATAAGAAGTAATTAATAAACCTGAAGAGCTACTTGGGACTGGTTATAGGAGCCTCTTCTTCCCCAGTCTCCGATGACGAGAAAGCTTACTGTACCATCAGGTTTCGCTGGCTGCAGTAGCCTGCGGAGCTCCGCCGTGGAACTATGGGTGGAGAATATAATAATCAAATTATAAACGTAAAATATTAAATTTACAGGTTTATGTTTTAAGGCAGCCATTGAGAGATTAGAAAAATGAAAAGCAAAAGAGGAAGAAGATAAGGAAAGGAATGGTTGATTTTGTTGTGTGTTTGTATCACTATATATGTAGGCCATTTTGAGGTTGAGAAATATGAATAAACATTATTTGCCATTTTTGCTTTATATTTCACGTGTTTATTTCAACTTTGATTTTTCATTTTATTACAATAATTTGAACTGATACCCACTGTTTCGGATATTTATCAATAAACAAATAAAATGACAACAGAAATTTAAAACTTATAAATAGCGGTTGAAAAAAATATGTTAAAATGTTTAGCAAAAACAAATCTGGAAACTTTTGGGGATTAATATATCATAAATTAGTACTAATTAAAAGTTTTATTGTACCATCAAGGGAGCGCATTGAGAGGTTGGAAAATAAAAGCTAAAGTATATATGGTTGATTTTGGTGTGTTTTTAGCTCTATATATGTAATGTAGACACTAGACAGTAGACACAGTAGTCTCGAATGTTTATTCTGATCACATAAATTTATTTTTAAAATAGCATTTTAATAACGAAATCTACTTTGAAAAACGACTAAAACAAAAATTCACGAAGCTCGTATCCTTTTATGCGTTGTCATACAAGAAGACAGCATAAACGCCCATGCCACAAATTTGTCGGAAATTGCAATTATTAGCTTTGAGTCACATTATTGATGAGTCTGCGAAAACTTCCAAATTTCTCAATTATTGTTGACCGTTAGTCACATTATTTTACAGTGTTGTTCTGAAAATAAAATAATGTGAATACAAGTTTACTAAATTCGTTCAACATATCAAAGAAATGGTAACAGAAGAAACTCCCACTAAGGAATATTTATACTGGATATGAAAATATATGTAAATGGGCTGGCCTTTGTTATTGGGCCTATACCCAGTTCTCCAATGAAAAGAAAGATCTATAAAAAGAAACTTCTGCTTCTCGATTAGGACATTATATTAATTCTGATCGAATACTCTTATCGTCTCAAATCATTCTAGAAAAACTTCAATCTCTCTTATAGACTTGATACTTGTAGATTCGGTGTCATTGTTTGTTCTTTAGAGGTTTGATTTTCAGCAATGTATGTAACTGTTTAACGCACCAATTGACAGTTCATTGTAGACTTTGTTGTTTTAAAAAACTATAGTGAAAACTTCACCAGATTACTATGAGTATGACTGTATGAGGCATCATGTAATGTTGTAGTTTCTTGTCTTGGATGTCTTGGCCAAAACTTTTCACCTTAAAACTTAAAAGAAACAAGCTTTATGTTGTATAAATATTCCTTACAATTAGAGGTTATCAAAGAAAAAAAAAGTTCCTTAGACCATACACATCGGCAAATGTGTAATTGTGGGTGTAAGTAATTGTTTATTATTATAATTAAAAGAGAAAGAGAAAAAAGAGAGAGAGAGAGAGAGAGAGATAGAGAGAAGAAATTTTTTTCTATTTTTATAATGCCTCACACTTGAGTGTAAGTCTACACCCGGTTTTTGTTGAAAAGGTAACTTTTGCAATATTTCTCAATTGTTTATAACTAACACCCGAGCATCTATTGCTCCCCTGCATTTGCTCTTAGAATTAGAGTTCCTATTAGTAAGATGTAGTCAGCAAGATTGACTTATAATGATGACAACAGAATCTCCAATGAATATCTCTGGTGGTCCTAGACTATTGTATCTTTAGTTTGGTTAGCTAAGTCTAGTACGACCGTGTAGATAGAGAAATGTCAAATGTGTGTGTTTGTTTCTGTTTCCTTTTTTCTACAGAAGTTAATTGATTGGTCTATTCGTCAGCAATTTCCTTAGAGTCAAATTTTTTGACCAACCAGCTTCTATGTGAAACTCTCTAGCTGTATTCACACATATACACACACACCTAACACAATTATTGAAACAGTGGGTTTGATGTAAAGCCTAAATCATTCAACCACCTCTTTTCCCCCTTCTATGCAATTAGATCGTGTGGTACTTTACGTTTGAAGCTTGATAAATAGAACAAAAATATATATGCCTTTTTTAGGTTAACACGTTTGTGTAGAAATGATGCAAATGCTTCTAAAATGAAACTGAATAATGTCGTCAGCTGCCTACTCATCTGTTGTTAGTGGATTGTTTTAGTGTTGGATCGGCTAGTAGACTTAGATATCTATCATATAGACCATATGATATGTTTAGCCTAAACAAAAACAATGGTTTTAGACATTATTGATTCATGTTCTTCTTATTTATTTTTGCTTGATCATTACTTTTTGTTTTTTTTTTTTCGTCTATCATTACTTTTTGTTTATGTATGTGTGTCTAATTAATTATTGAGATCTATTTCATCCTTCCATTGGTGCATTAATATTGATCTTTTAGCAATTGTATGAATTGAAAAACCGCTGAAAATAGAGACAAGTAGCAAAAGAGGAAATGGATGAGCCTCTGAAAATAATATTACAAATTCTGTCATTTCTACATCCATTTTCTTCAAATCGTCTTTGCGATGATCACAGGTATCCCACTAATCTCTCTTTTTCAGTAGACTCATTACATCTTTAATTCCTTAAGTAGCAATGAGTACACGGACATGTAGGGTCTACCACACGCCCTTCAGTTCAACTTATCTAATTCTAAACCCTTCAGAAAAAATTAGAGACTTTAAATTTTGTAAAATTCTATACATTTTCTTATATATATATATCATGTGACACTTATATGTGTCTTAGCAATCCATCATTAAAAAAATGCAAAACATTTACACATGTATGTGAGTTGTGAGTTCAAATAATATTAGTCAATACTCATTAGTCACTATAATTGATATTTTGAATGGCTTATCCTATGAAAATTTAGTACTTTTTTTTTTTTTTCTGTTAGCACATTCATAGAGAAAAAAAATGTTAATTGATCTAAAGACGACAGTTTAGATTTTAACAGTCGCACCAGAACTAGTACCAGGAAACATAAGATAATATATAATTATATATATAGGACTAGCTACTCCATTATGTTTACGTAGTTTATGACAAAGATTAATGTTTTTTTTTTTTTTTTTTTTTTGACAAAGATTAATGTTGTGTAATCTGCATCTGACTTCTTTATTTATGTATGAAGTGGTTAGAACTAAACTTGTCGGCTAATAATTCAAGCAACCCAACACAATGTTTGGGATTATCCTGTTTCTTTCTTCTTCTAAACTCTCAAAAGTAAGGCTGCAATTCTTCTGTCAGTTCGTGTGGGATATTACCATAGTTATATAAAAATCAGAATTTAAATAGTATATAATGTCATAATAATTCCATAGTTGATTAGTAGTTGTGGCAAGCAATAATGAAAAGTTTGGATAATGATACTAACTTTTTTTGCTGATTAAATATATAAATAAGATTTTCAACTTATTCTTAATGAAATTAGTGGAGTGGAGTGTATTGGCCACCACCACTACCTTGTTTTGATTAGACCAATTTGGCATATTTTTCTTGTACAATATATACATCTTTAATTAATTTTAGCTTCATTCACCAAACATAAATTATTTTTGGCATATTTCATTATTCCAAAGTGATTTACCTCTTTATTCTCATGATTAAAGGTTCATTGCAACGTCGGCATGAGTAGTATTTAAATTACAAATTTTTTGATTAAAATAACCAACTACTTTATGATTTCTGCTACTTAAATCATTTGATGCATAATACTAAGTTAAATATTTTGGTTGGTCCATGAGGTATTCATGCAACGTACAAATACGATATACTAAACAATTGAGAGTACTCTAGAAATACTTTTATACATCTCATCAAATTGATGAAAAAAGAAAAGAATAATACATCTCATCAAACAAGACAAATCTTATTCTCTTTCTTCTAATTGGGACGTGTTACGTACGCGCCGCCGAGAATCCGTCACTCTTTTTAACTTTATTTTATCGTATTTTCATGAAAACGAATAAATACTACTACTATACTAGTATTACTGTATTAGAGAATAACAAGATAAGTAGGCGACAAAAGAAAAGAAAAAAAAAAAGAGAATAACAAGATAATAAATAACATTAATGTGAATAAATTTGATTTAATAATGTAATATGACAAAAAGAAGCTCAGTTTTATTCAACTTTTTTTCTTTCCACATTCTTCTTTTTTTCCAACTTAACCCTCTTTTTTCTTGCAACTTTTGCTCGGAATTCTATGCTTTGCTGAACCATTGTTTTCTCTCTGCGAAAGTAATGAGTAGCTTTTTGCTATGTTAAGCTTTAGATCTGTTATATGTTTCTGTGAGTCTTCTAGTATATCTTTTGTGGTTTCTTTGAGAGCTTAAGCAGCCATTGCCACAAGCTGAGCTTTCTTTCTCTAGTTCAAGATTCTAACTTTGGAGCTAGTAAGTGAGAGAGAGGAAAAAATTCGTTAAAATGCTGGAGATTGAAAGCCCTACGAGTCTCTGTTTCCGTGCAAACACTACTTGTAATGCTCTGCTTCGAGAGCTTCAGGTTTTCTTTGACCCTCTTCTTCTCTGTTTCTTGGAAATTTAGGGTTTCTTGATAATGGTGTTTTAAGGACAAAGTCTGTGTTTTTTTTGTTCTTTATAGATAAAGTCTTCTCCTTTTTTTTTCGTCAACTATAGGTTTAAGGGTTACTGTGAATTTTGGTACCTCGACTTCTTTTGACCTGTTCTTCTACAAGTATCTGTAAGATATCTGATTTTGATGTATGGTTTAATGGGAAAATTTTATTTGGTATGGAGCAGAAAATATGGGTTGATATTGGTGAGAGTGATGCTGAGAAAGACCGGATGCTAATGGAATTGGAGAAGGAATGTCTCGAAATTTACAGGAGAAAAGTGGATGAGGCTGCAAATTCTAAGGCACAGCTTCATCAATCATTGGTATCAATTGAAGCTGAAATTGCTTCTTTAGTGGCTGCTCTTGGAGTGTTAAACATCCACTCACCGGTATGAGCTAGTCTACTTGGTTTCTTTATATAGGTAATGAAAGGAAAGTTTCCATCTTTCTTGTTTTGAAAATGTGTGTTTTATGGTTACAGATCAAAGCAAAGGAAGGTTCAAAATCATTGAAAGAAAAACTTGCTGCTGTGAGGCCAATGCTTGAAGACTTAAGATTGCAAAAAGATGAAAGAATGAAGCAATTTGTGGATATAAAAGCGCAAATTGAGAAGATGAGTGGTGAAATCTCTGGATACAGTGACCAACTCAACAAAGCAATGCTTGGTTCTTTGGCTCTTGATGAACAAGACTTGACTCTTCGGAAGCTTAACGAGTATCAAACACATCTCCGCTCGCTCCAGAAAGAGAAGGTGAGGAAGTTTTTGTGAATACAATAAGAAGATGAACCAAGATTTTTTACTTTGTTAAGTTAAGCTGCTTGCTTACTCATTTGTTCTTGTTTTTTTTTGCAGTCGGATCGTCTGAACAAGGTTTTGGATTATGTGAATGAGGTGCACACTCTATGCGGTGTTCTTGGAGTCGACTTTGGTCAAACTGTTAGTGAGGTTCATCCGAGCTTACATAGGACTGACCATGAGCAGTCTACAAACATTAGTGATAATACATTGGATGGTCTACAACACATGATTGATAAGCTGAAAACCGAAAAGAGAGTCCGGTTTCAAAAGGTAGATAAACAAGCCCGCAATGCTATTATTCTCCTTGTAACTGATTATCATTTTGATGGCTTAGCGTTTTCGCCTTTCGGTGTGCAGTTAAAGGATGTAGCGGGGTCACTTTTCGAGCTATGGAATCTAATGGACACATCTCAAGAAGAAAGAACGAAATTTGCAAGAGTCAGTTATGTTGTAAGATCATCTGAATCTGATATCACTGAGCCAAATATCCTTTCTACTGAAACAATTGAACAGGTTACGACAAACCCCGTTTCTTTTCCTGATTTTTATTGCCAATAATCTTTTCCAGGATATCTGAGTTCTTGATTTCCCTTCGACATTAGGTGTCTGCAGAAGTAGACTCTTTTAATAAGCTGAAAGCTAGCAGAATGAAGGAACTTGTGATGAAAAGAAGGTCTGAGTTAGAGAATCTTTGCAGATTGGCTCACATTGAGGCTGACACAAGCACATCTCTTGAGAAATCAACTGCTTTGATTGATTCTGGTAATAATAGTGATAAAGCTTATCTTCTTCTCAGAAATATGAGTAGCTTATTTTCTTGCTGAAACCTGTTTGTATTTGAGAAATATTTCCTCATGTTTCTTCAGGATTAGTGGACCCTTCAGAGCTTCTTACAAATATTGAATTGCATATAAACAAAATCAAAGAAGAAGCACATAGCCGGAAGGAAATAATCGATAGGATTGACCGCTGGCTATCTGCGTGTGAAGAGGAAAACTGGCTAGAAGAATACAATCAGGTAAATATTCCTTGTAAAGTTGGCAAATGGGTTTTTTGAAGGATGTAATTGAGAAATTCCTTCCTTGGTTTCAGGATGAAACCCGGTATAGCGCTGGAAGAGGTGGACACGTAAACCTCAAGCATGCAGAACGAGCCCGGATCACAGTAAACAAGATCCCATGTATGTTCTTGTATGTTCCCACTTCCCACTAAAGATCTTTTATGAGATGTTTAGCTTATTGGTTATTGTTATCTGAAGCAATGGTTGACAATCTCATCAAGAAAACGCTTTTATGGGAGGACGAAACACGGAAATCTTTTCTATATGATGGTGTAAGTTAAAGTAACTTTATAGTAAAAACAGCCATAAGGTCTATCCTTTGATTATGGTTACCTTTGATTATGGTTACTCGTTTCCTCCAGGTTCGATTGGTATCCATACTTGAAGATTATAAATTGACAAGGACACAACAGGAAGAGGAAAAGAAACGATACCGGGTTTGTCAAAAGACTCTCTTTAATATGACCCTTAAGATTTGTAAATACAGCTTGCCTGTTAATACGGATTTTTTCATTTCCTCTGCAGGATCAAAAGAAGATGCAGGATCTCTTAATAAAGCGGAGGGAGTCAATTTATGGATCAAAACCGAGTCCAAGAAGAAGCAACAGTGTAAAAAAGCCCAACGGATACAATGGGGATGCATCTGTGCCTCCTACGCCTCGCAGAAACTCAGCTGGAGCAACAAATACCGACATTATGACCCCAAGATCTTACTCGAGCCATCGCCAAAACGGATATTTCAAGGAAGTAAGGAGACTCTCAACAGCTCCTTTGAACTATGTGGCCGTACCAAAGGAAGACTCTGTCTCTACGTACACTTCGGTTTACGGCTCTGAACCAGATTCACCGTTATATAACTAAGTCTCATTAGGCAGCGCAGTTGGTTCAATGACAAGAAGTGGTGATGTAGTAGGAGTTGGGAGTTAGATGAATGTAATCAAAAGGAAGAGTTACTGATACAGATCAAGTACAAGTAGTGGTCGTATGTGTGTGACTTTGAGTTGACTTGTGACTGACTTTAGAGTAATAGAAGAGTAGAAAATGGATGTTTATGTTCTTACTTCTTGTAGTAGCTTCAAAATTTTCTTTGGTGTGTTGTTTAATTTGTGTGGATGTGTGTATATTATACAGAGAATATGGTTCGGTTTTTCTTTTTGGTTCTGTTCGGTTTAGGTATTCGATTTTTTTTTTTGGGTATAACCGTCTAACACATTTAAACCGTACTAAAATATGGTTCGGTTTTAGTTCAGTTAATTCGGTTTGGTTCAAATCGAAATCGTTTAAACCGGATTAACACGAAATTGATTTCGCGAAACACTTTTCCTTTATTTGGTCGCTGCTGCCAAAAAAGAGACACTTTTTGCTCGGAGGTTTGAGAGAGACTAGGGTTTAAGCAATTGATCCCCGTTGATCTTTCTCCTGGGTTCCGAATCTTCGACAGTACCTCTCTCATTTCCTTTGTTTCGTAATCCACTGTTGTAAAAATAGTTGCTTTTTATTCTGAACTAGCAAAAATTCTTGTTTGAAATATTTGCAGATGGTTGGAGGATTTGCTCTATGTGTTTCATGTGGTGCCACTGCCACAACATGTCATCTCTGGGGCCATAGAATTAAAGGGTTTAGTCTCATTCCCAATTCTTTTGCATATTTGAATGTGTTTTATCAATCAATCAATCAAAATATGTTTTCCTTTGCGATGGTGCAGGAAATTTGAACATTTTAACAGCATTACCCGTGTTATCGACTTTAAATGGTTAGGTATGTTTCTCTTTAATAACCTTCGGATTTAAAGCCTGGTTTTTTATCATCCTGTATTGGTTGCAGGTTACAAATGGGAACCAGTTCTTATATTTTTTTTTGTATTCAGATGATTTGCTTAAAGAAAAAACCACGAATCTTCTTGTTGTGTTATCCGGAAGAGTTGCTTCTGCAACAAACTTTAACTGCAAAGATGATGGTCCTTTGGGTGTTGTTTTTGATGATACGGTAAGATTGTTTTTTTTAGTATAGTTGGCATCATGTGTGCTTCAAATTCTCTGGTTTGGTGGGGTATGTCATAACACATATACTGTTTTCAGGCCCAAGTGGGTTATGAGACCAAGTTTGAAGATGATGGTTTGATAAACAAGTCTATAAATTTTCTCTTACAACGAAAGGAAGCTCCTTGGTATCTGGTAAGATACAATTCATCTGCTATTTCTTGCCCCCTCCTCCCATAACTTAAGCCTGGCTTCTTGATTTGTTGTCTCTCTCTCCGTCTCATACAATTAGGAAGACAGTACGGGTCGGGTGAAGGTAGTGAGAGCTCACGATGCTCTAGGATTTGATAATACTCTAAAAGTGTATGTTGAAACGTCACTTGGTGAATTCTTCGAAAGTCTTTTATCACCCGAAGAAGGCTCTAAGGTTCTTTCTTTATTTTCTCCTTCTCTGCTTTGTTCCCTAGAACACCTTTAATTCCTTGTGTTGAAACCAACAATGTGATGTTTTTTTCTAGGTGCTCTATGGGCAGGCTCTTAATATTGGTACCTCCATGACTGTTGTTGGTGAGGTAAAGGAAGCCCCATGTGTTCCTTTTTACTTCTTCTTTATTCAGGAAATGTGGATCCTGTACAGTGGCGTTTTAGTGGTTCAGTTACATTTCCCTCTTCTGTTGTACTGTTGTATAGGCTGTTAAAGATAAAGCTGGTAATCTCATGATTCAAGAATCCAAAGAACAGTCTTTAATGGTTTTCAGTGGAGAGAAATCCTTTGATAAAATGGTTGGAAACATGAAGTCAAATTCAGAGTAAGGACAGACTCATGTTTCTGTTGTGTTATTTTTACTTTGGGAGGTGAGGTGATGAATCATATTTTGTTGAAAGACAATGAATGTTGTGTTATGTTTTGCAGGTTTTACATTTTCTACTCCAAGATCTTCGGAACTGTTGCTGTGGCTATAGCCGTCGTGTACGGTGTGGATTTTGTAAGAAAGGTTTTGTTACCATTCGTGTGGAAGAAAAAGGACTTAGGTAACAACAACAGATCAGAGAATGATAACTCAGACAGCGAAGATTAAGACATCAGTGATTGCTAGGACTCCGGCTAAAGTCTCACTCAGGGAGAAGAATTAGGCAACGAATTGATTTCGCGAGACACTTCTAATTTATGTTTAGGCAAATCTTAACGTTTATTTAAATCTAATCATGTCTACAATTGGTTGGTTATGTTTGGTGAAACTTTTTCTACATTTTTATTACGTCAAACATTAGTAGCTTGGATCAGATCGAGCCGGGCAAGACCGTCTCAGGTTTGGTTAACCTGGTCGTAAATTCTAATCATTTTCTAAATCAATAGGTAAAACAATAGAACAATCGTAGATTCGTATCTAGAGATATGTTTTTAGTTTTTTTTTAGTTTTTTTTTTTTTTCTGTCGCTATAGACAATAATCCGATTTTTCTATATGTTTATATAATTAGTGTAGGATTCTGTCTGAATTTTTTTTTTTTTTTTTTTTTTTTTTTTGATTCTGTCTGAAATTATTCTTGTAACATTATGGAATAAATAAAACTGGACATATATGTGTCACAAAGAATGGATCTTATGAGCTTTCTCAAAGAAGTTCTTATTAGGCTTGAAATGCCAACAACAAAAACATATATCCATTCCTTTGTGGCCCATATATGAGTAGAGAAGTTCATCTTCTGTAGATTTTATTTATTTTCAGTCAAGTTGCATTTTCGTGTGATGCTTTGGTATTTAAGTATATTGTTTTACGACTTTATAGAAAAGCAAAAAGTAATCATTTGTTTTTAAAATGATTATTTTCTACAAAAAAAAAGCATAACAGCTTTTATTGACTTTCTCATTATAATTTTAAGTAACAAATCTCGAAATCATTCGAAAAATACAATGTTGTGTTATTTCCATAACTAATTGTCTTTTCATTACGTGAAAAAATGTATTTTCCATAATTAATTACAATAGTTTTAAATTAGATATGTTTTATCATTTTTTTTTTTGTCATTTTAACATCCTTGCCATAATAATTAGTACTACTATTCAACTACTTCAATATTATTTTCGTATATTCTGATTGGCGAACAGTAATGACCATAAATAAAACGTCAGCTAGTTGTCTTGTCAAAACTCAAATCCCACCGACGTAAAAAGAAGAATCATAAAGACCAATTAAAGAGTGAAGCCAGTTACTAGTAATTAAGGACATGTCTGAATCAAACACATTAAAAAACACTAATGATAAAATACTAATCCATTAAAATAAGCGATTAAGGAGGAGAAATTAACACAAAAGATGTGAAAATGAAATGGAACTAAATTATAGTACTATCTCAATTAAGGAAATTAATTAATTAGTTAGTGATAAAACTTTTTATTATTGTTAACCCAAGTTTTAAAAAGATAACGAGAAACACCAATCCCTTCGCAGAAGACTCTTATCTCTTCTCTAAGCGCTCTCTTATCCTTCAACGTCCATCCCAACTTCGCCGCGTATTCTTTCATCGCCTCTCTTTGCTCCGCCGTGAACTTTGACTTCCTCCGTCGCTGCACCGTCATCTTCTCTTCCGTCGAAGTCTCCTCCGTGTCCTCCTCCTCCTCCTCATTTCTTTCCTCAGCCGTTTTCCATTTCAGCCTCGCGAGCTGCTTCACGCGCCTCAAGCTCGTGAAAGGGAAGCGCGTGTGTGTGACTTGAGCAGAAGATATGACGTCGACGCGACGGTGGTAGCTGCGGTGGCAACCACAGGCGGCGCAGAGATCGCCGGTGGCTGATTGAGAGAATTCAAGGCAGCCATCGATAGCGTAGGAGCCTAGCTTCGCGGCGTGGTTGCGCATGCATTCTCTGTAGACGCAAGAACTCTGCATCTTCTTGGCTCTCTAATTAGAAGAGAGAGAGAGATTTTGATTTTTGAGTAATGATTTTTGAGTTTAGGGTTTGATTTGGAAGAGTTTGGTTTTGAGTTACTTAAGTTATGATATGATGTGTTTTTTTTTGTGTCAGAAAGAGTTGGGAGTTACAAAAAAAGCAAAAATTATTGTTACTTACTTGCTTTAAGATTTTGTACTTATGTGTGTATTAGTTGTCATAATAAATGTGAAAAACCCACTTTTTGAACTGTTTCACTGGCTTTGCTTTTATACAGATCCATAATTTCGTGTCCTCTCAGCTCATAAAGTTGTCATCTCTACCCATAGGCCATAGTTTTAACTCTTTTAATCCATTGGATTAAGTAGTAACAATAATGAGAAATAAGAAAACTAAACCACTTTTTCTAAAAGTATAGCGGCTAATTAAGTAGAAGTATTTTGATTTATAAAAGTAAGATTTAAGAAACTAATTTTTGAGAAAAATTAAGAAAAATCAAGAATTTATGTAACTAAATGACACTAGTAGCAATTAAGATGCAAAAATCAAAAGGTTCCCTCTCTGATTTTTCTTTATTTTAAAAAGAAGTCTGAACTCTGAAACGCTTTCTTTTTAAGATGTTTAGCAAAAAAGCGATTGTGTGACCCACGAGTTGACTATTCACTATCGTATATGTTCATTTGCCTACTTTATGTTTTGTGTAATTTAGCAAACTAAACGATTATTTTACGGCTTAATGATACCAATTACACCAATAAATAGTAATTAAGAAATGTATATCATAATGTACAAACAAAGTAATAAATTGACTAGCTCAAACCACACACATAAGGCATTAGATACGATTACAACACTACTACATTATAAAATTGCCTCAAAACAAAATCATACAAACATATAGAGAAACCAACCAAACAACCCTTATCTAATCGAACTTATTACGACATCAAATATATCTTTTTATTTTGGTAAAAACTGAGATTTCTTAATTTTAGCTTATCCTTATCTAATTCGTTATAAACCAGCAAATAATTGACATGGAAGAAAAACAACACACGGTTTAAAGAAAATTATAAAGCGCGAAATAGAAAATAACAATTTGAAACCACCAAATCGGAGATGAAGCTATGGAATCGCGCCGCAGTAGCTCTCAAAGACGGACCTAGTCTCATCGCTGCGGATGACATTCTCACAGCAGCCGTCGTGAAAGCTACAAGCCACGACGAGCTCTCCATCGATACAGAGAGCGCTCAATTCATCTACCGTCACGTTCTCTCTAGCCCGTCGAGCCTCAAGCATCTCGTAAGCTTAATCTCTTCTCGCGTGAAACGCACGCGAAGCTGGGCGGTTGCGTTAAAAGGCTTAATGCTAATGCACGGCTTCTTCCTCTGTAAAACAACCGTCGCCGAATCGATCGGACGGTTACCGTTCGATCTTTCGAGTTTCGGCGAAGGTAGTTCACGGATTATGAGCAAATCCGGTGGGTTTAATCTCTTCGTACGCGCTTATTTCGCGTTTCTTGATCGAAGATCGATTCTATTTCACGACGGGAATCGTCATCGGTACAATGAAGAATCATCGGTTCTGATTCGACTTGTGATTATACGTAAGATGCAGATTATTGTGGATTCGTTGATTAGGATTAAACCGATTGGTGAAAACATGAATATACCATTGATTAACGAAGCTATGGAGAATGTGATTAGTGAGATCATGGAGATTTACGGTTGGATTTGTCGTCGGATTGCTGAAGTTTTACCTAACGTGCATTCCAAGATTGGGAAAACAGAAGCAGACTTGGCGTTGAAGATTGTTTCTAAATCTACGAAGCAAGGAGGAGAACTCAAAAAGTATTTTGAGTTTTGTAAAGATTTGGGAGTTTCTAATGCTCAAGAGATTCCTAATTTCGTGCGGATTCCTGAAGCGGATGTGATTCATCTCGATGAACTCGTAAGAACGTCGGAGATTGATTCGTGTGAGGAAGGTGTGGAGAGGACGGAGATTGTTGTTGAAGAAGAAGAAGAAGAGATAGAGACGAAGCCTGAATTGGTTTCAGATTTGATAACACTTGATCAAGCTCCTGCTTCTCCTCCGAGAGTAGTTGTTGTTGATATTCCAGATTTAATTAGCTTTTAATTATGTTTATGTTCTGTATTAATTTGGATTGTTGTTATTGTTCATATGGTACACATTCAAATTAATTTCGCGCTAATTTCATTTTACTTGGGACAAATCTTTACTTCGTCTTAGTTAAGGATTATTTAAACATCAAATCTAAAAATAACATGTTTTTTCAACTATGTAAGTACAAATAGAGGTAAATCTGAAAAACAAAAACATTTTTAATTAAAAGAATATCTGTTACAAGTCAGTAAAATGTTTATAAAAGATAACGGAAGGAAGAAAAAAAAAGTACAAAAAAATTAAATTTCCCTGCAGATTTTCTCCGACACTTTCTTCCTCAGACACAGATAGACAAACAAACAAAAAACAAAGCAACGTATGATAAAAAGTGGTAAGAAAAACAGAGAACTCTGTTTCCAAACCCTACAACGAAGATGGTTTTACCTGAAAACAGAATCGAACTCAGATTGCAGACAGAATTTTGAAAAAGGTCACAGATTTCAGATTTGTTGTATATATACATACACCATCATTGAGAGATTCCATCCCGGAAGAGATCGAAAAAACCGCCGGAAACAGTCACTTCTTCTTCTTCTTTTTTTACTAATCAAGCAACTAATCATCTGATTGTGACGAACTTGTTAGTTCCATGTCTTGCCCAATGGCTCTTAAGATCAATCGGATTTCCAAAGTTAAACCCATCAGAAGCAAGTTTCTCAAGAACCTTCTTAAACGCGCCTTGACTCATCTTCCTTCCCGAGATCCTTGCTCCACGGCGTTTAGTACTCATCGGTAATGGATGCATCGAGATGTTTGTGGTACAACAAGCAGACTGCCAACCGCCACATCCCCAACGGTAGCATTGCTGAGGAGCTCCAGTGCAAGTGCAGATCGGGACAGGAAGACCCGAAATGTCCATACTAACTCCATTAATCACCAAATCGACACTTTTCTTAGCCGGTTTAACTCGAGAAACATTCGTGTTGTTGTTGTTGCTGTTCTCATCCTTCGGTTTCCTTGGCTTCTTAGCCTTTGCTGTGGAGCCAGCTTTTGCATTGGTCTTTCTCTTCTTAGTCTGAACAACAATCTCTTCTTCCAATTTAACCGGATTCTCCTCGGTTTGATGATGATGATGGAGATTCATCTGCATCGACGGAGCAGACGAAGTTTCGGGAAGGACATTACCGTAACTAGGAGCGGTTGTTACAGGCAGCATATTGAAGAACTTATCCTTCTGTTGGTTAATCCAATTGTAGCTCATGTGGATAGGAGGTTCTTGGTGGTGATATGACCCATTAGGCCCAATCATTAGATTCGGGTCACGGCCAGGTAAAAACGGTTTAGTGTTCCGATCAATGGTAGACATAAGCTGCAAACCGAGATTACCTTTAAAGGTAGCAGCCGCTGGTTCATAGTAACCCCAATTGCGAAACCCATCGTCATCCATTTCAAAGATCTACAAAAAAAAACGTCATTACAAAACAAATTTCAACAAGACAAAACAATCAGAGATTCAGATCCAAATTCAGACAGAACAAAACAATGCAATAAAATCAAACATTTCTAAATCTGAATTAAGCTAAACCTCTAAACATTTCTAATATCCAGCAACAAACAATGTAAAATCGTTAAAAAGATTAGATCTTGGAGATACCCAGAAACAAAATTAAGGTGGAATGGATATAAACATGAATTCCCAACAACATTACACATTTAATCCCAAAACCCACATGCAGATCCATAGATCTGGGAAATCCAGAGCAAGATCTAATGAAACAGGACATGAATCAATGGTTTCCAAAGCCTAATTCTAAGATATGAAGAAAAGCGGGTACAGTACACACAAAAAGGACCCATTGTAATATAGAAATTGGAGAAAGAGAAAGAGAGAGAGGGAGAGAGATGATGTTAGTTAAGATGGAAATGGATTAGGAGAGAGAAAACTTACATGAGAAGAGGGGTTAAACAAAAACGGGGGACTCTTTAAGGGAATTTTTTTGCCCTTCTGGTGAGAGAGGAAAGAGAAACCTGAGAGAGATTGGGGAAAGAGAAGAGGAGGGGAAGAGAGAGGAGAGAGAATTATTATGAGAGAAGATAAGAAAAAAAAGAAGAGAGAGAGATCTCAAAGAAAGGGAAAGACAGCGTTTTTTATTTCAAGTCGGACGCCGAAGAGACAACCCTAAAATTGTCTCATTTTCTATTTAAAAATTACAAATATCTAAAGGGCTTTTTTTCCCCTGTGAATACTACCTTTTTTTAATGTTTGGTAAGTGTAGGAATACCAAAATGATTAAGAAAGCCATTTGAGAAGAAGACAAAACCACAAAGCCCACTCTTTTTACACATCTTTTTTAAAGCCGAAAGAGATTTTTGTTGAAAACAAAGAAGATGATGAAGAAGCAATTAGAGAGACTTATTGGACAAATAAAATCTTTTCATTCGTCATTTCTTTCCATTTAACTGAACAAGAATCAATTCTTCTCTTTAGAAAATGTTTTGCAAAACAGATGGTAAAAATTCAACCACATTGGTTAGCCAAATCTATTATACTAGTGGTGTAGAGGTAGAGACCATTATGGAAATGTATAGTTTTAAAATTCAGTGTTTCCAATGTGAGAGATAATGCTCTTAGTCACATACTATATTTTATACATACTGCATTGTGGATAGTCAGCGCTTGTCCCTCACAAACATTCCATTACTTTGGACAATCTAAACAATAACCAGAATTGCTCATTGATATTCATAATTACCATAACAGATTCAAACAAAACCAATCATCAGCACCTTGAATATAAGTTTGGATCTACAGTTTCATGAATCAAGAAATTCTTGGCTGCTCAATTCAATCCTCTTCTCGATCGGGCTACTCATCAACTTGAGACTCTTTCTCTTGATAAACTTGTTAGATCCATGGCTTCTCTCTGCACAACATTGCCTCAAAAACTTGCGATTTTCTCTATCCAGCTCTCTGTTTTGCTCACTCACAAGTTCTACTTCTTGCTCTGCTTTAGCAAGATTCAAGATGAGACATTCTTTCTCCTTTTCAATTCTCTTCACCATTGACACTAAAGACACAACCTTTTGCGTTGTTGGCTTTAACTGATCCCATTTTCTCAACAATGTTTGACAACATTTGTCTTCAACGTTAGCCCCCAAGAAGATACGCCCCAATGATTTACTCTCATCTTTGCTAACAAACGATGCCAAAATTGAATCAACCAAACAATCCTCTTCAGATTCTTCGATTCGATTCTTGATTTCATCAGACATTTTTCTAACTTCTTCTTCCAATTCACGAACCCTAGATTCTGCTTCTCTAGCCCTTTCATCAGTTTCGTTTCCAAATTCCATCAGTGATTCACGATCTTGATGATAAAGAAAACATTCTCTTTCCCACTTCTTACACTGATTCACCAAATCCTCGCACTCACTTGCCAATTTCTGATTCTCTTCGACGAATTTCTTCAGCGACTGAGCGTTCATACTCGCTTCGGATCTCACGAGATCAATTACTTTGTCTTTCTCTTTCAATCTCGAAACCAGAGATAGATACTGTTCACGGAGACGACGCTGAGATTCTTCCGCCGTGTAGAGTTTTTTCTTGAGAGCATCCATGGAGATCGGAAGCCCTAAGGAGTGATCGATTGTCTCTTTGATAAAGTCATCGACTTCTCGCGAGAGATCCATTTTTTCACGAAACTTAGAATCAACAAGAAATCGCAGACAGCTTTCGCTCGCTGAAGAACTCCTAGGGTTTCTGAAATTCAAAAGGAGAGGAGGATTCGAATTTCAAAATTGAAATCAAAGGCATTAATTAATTATTGGTCGATGAAACCATTTATAGTTGGGCCGAAATATTGGCCCATGAAAGTGTACGAAATTGTGTAGGTTATTAAAAATTTTAATTATTTCAATTATTTATTTATCCATGAACCAATTTACAAATTGGTTACATCTTCAAATTATTTTAGATATATAAAAAAGACAGTCGGAAAAGGAGAAAATGATGTGTTTTTGAAATTTATTAGTTACAAGGAAACACGAATTCAAAGGTATTGATGTCTAATGAAAGTTTTTAGAAGGAAAAAAAAAAAATCAAAGGTATTGATGTCTTTTACAATACGTAAAATATATAGAAAAGGATACAAGTAATTTAATTTATATGGATGATTTAAGGTTTTCAATTTTATAAGAGAACTAGCAAGAAAACAATGTAGCCACTTACACACAAGAAAAAAAAAAAAAAAGACTAGCTCCGTGGAACAAAGTAACAGACAAAAATGAGAAACCTAGATTGAACCGAAAATAAAACCTGTAAACCCAATCTTGGTTCACTCTTAAACGAACCAAATACGGTCCGGTCTCGCTTACGGTCGGTGTTTTTGGTTCAGTAAATAAATTTCCATAGACAAATAAATGCATCTTTGACCGTAATTAACGATAATCGTTTGCTTCTTTCTAACGGAGATGACGAGTATAATCGGCGGGACGTTGCCGTACAAATCACCGGAGAAAGCAATTACATCTTCTTCGTATTCAGCCGAGAACGATTCGAGTCCTGTGGATGCTGTTATTTTCGCGGGAACTTCGCTGGTTCTCGGCACCGCGTGTAGACATTTGTTTAACGGCACTAGAGTTCCGTACACCGTCGTTCTTCTCGTCATCGGCATTGTTCTCGGATCCCTAGGTCTGCTTTATCTGCTCATTAAGCTTTATATCTATTAATTCTTCGAATTTCCGGGAAACTCTAAGGCAACGTGTGAATTCGAGTTTCTTCATGAGTGGGATTTTGAATTGACAAATGTTTTCAATTTCGTTGAAGATTTAGAAAGATGAAAGTAGTTTTTTTTTTTTTTTTTTTTTTTTTTTTTTTTTTTTTTTTTTTTTTTGTCTAAGATGAAAGTAGTTAAATTTTGGATTTTGATTCTGCAGAATATGGAACTAATCATAACCTTGGGAAGCTCGGCCATGGAATCCGTATCTGTAAGCTACTGTATTTTCTCTTCTCTACACTGTTAGATTTCGAGCTCTAAAAAATGGCAAGTTTACAGGGAATGATATAAACCCTGACCTACTTTTGGCTGTTTTTCTCCCTGCTCTTCTTTTCGATAGCTCATTTTCCATGGATGTACACCAGATCAAGGTTTTTACTTTCATAGAGTTTGTGGATTTTGAGCTACTTCTTTTTCTGTTTTGGTTCCTGGTATTGATTGTTTACTCCGTTGGTAGAGGTGTATGGTGCAAATGGTTCTGCTTGCTGGCCCTGGAGTTCTGATTTCTACCTTTTGTATCGGAGCTCTTATAAAGGTACTAACTTGCTTCAACATTTTGAACTGTGAATAAATGACCTTCCATGAAGTTACAATTTTTCGAGTTATGTTCTTGTAGCTCACTTTTCCATATAACTGGGACTGGAAAACATCATTGTTGCTTGGAGGGCTTCTAGGAGCTACTGACCCCGTGGCTGTTGTTGCTCTGCTAAAGGAGCTTGGTGCTAGTAAGAAGATGACCACTTTAATTGACGGGGAATCTCTGATGAATGACGGGTAATCATGTCAAACTCTTATGTTTAGCATCAAGTGATGTTATGTCATATATGCTCAAGCTTAGTTGTTTTGAAAATTCAGGGTATCGGTAGTGGTTTTCCAGTTATTTTTCAAGATGGTGATGGGGCATAACTCTGATTGGGGTTCCATAATCAAATTTCTTGTTCAAAACTCATTCGGAGCGTATGGATTATTTTCCTTTGTTAATTAGTTGTATAGTATGTCAGTGCCTTATTTCCCTGCTTATGTTGTTCTGTTTTTTTAGTGTAGGCATTGGCCTAGCTTTTGGATTTGCATCAGTTTTTTGGCTTAAATTCATATTCAATGACACCATGGTTCAGATCACTGTAACACTTTCAGCGAGCTATTTCGCTTATTACACTGTATGCTTTTCTCCACAACTTATTCTCCAATGCGAGAATCTTATCTCTCTAGAAAACCTAAGAATTTTCTACCATGTACAGGCTCAAGAGTGGGCTGGGGTTTCTGGAATTTTGACTGTCATGATTTTGGGGATGTGAGTCGTGGTGAATTATCCCATTCTTTCTCTTTATCGTGTTAAAAAGCCATTGTTCATAAAATAATTGTAATAGGTTTTTCGCTGCATTTGCAAGGACAGCATTTAAGGGTGACAGTCACCAGAGTCTGCATCACTTCTGGTATTTCACAACTCAGTGTTCTTCTTTCGTTATATCAAAGGAAAATATTTACACGTATATATTATATGTCTGTGACTGCCCTTTAACTTTTGTAGGGAAATGGCCGCTTATATTGCAAATACATTAGTTTTTATACTCAGGTACGAAGTGTCTGGCAAGATTTAAAAAGAGAAAGCTACTGGGTTATTTTACAAACAAAATACTGCAGTCAATGTTTTATAGCCGATTAATACAATATCATTGCATGTGTTTCTCTTGTGAATTGCAGTGGAGTTATTATCGCTGAAGGCATTCTTAGCGGTCGGGCAATTTCTTACAAAGGTGCCTCGTCACATTTTATTATTTTAAGTTCGGATTTTTGTTCTTGGAATATGTAAACAGAGGTTTTCTCCTAGAGTTCGTCATGATACATCACTAATTCCTGATACCATTACCGCAGTAGCTTTCTTTTTGACATATATTGGGGTTACGAGGAACATTCATGACTCGTAAGATTTCTTCTCAGGAAACTCGTGGGGCTTCCTGTTCCTCTTATACTTGTATGTCCAACTTTCCCGCTGTGTTGTGGTTGGAGTTCTGTACCCATTGCTATGCCGTTTTGGCTATGGGTTGGATTGGAAGGAATCCATCATACTCACGTGGTCTGGATTAAGGGGTGCTGTTTCACTGTCGCTCGCTCTATCTGTAAAAGTGAGTTCTGAAGAAATGACATTTCATTCATGCAAGAGCAAGATCTACTATTTATATTCATGTTCCATTTCCTTTTCTCTGACATATTCTAGCTCTCGGTCATATGATTCAGCAATCAAGTGGAAATTCATATCTCAGTTCGGATACGGGAACAAGGGTGAGTTTTGAAACACAGTATGAACAACTTTTGAATTTCTTTCTGGAGGCTCTGTTTGTTATCTTGATGTGTTTCAGCTGTTTTGCAGTTTCTATTCCTCACCGGTGGGATTGTTTTCCTAACTTTGGTTGTTAATGGATCCACTACCCAATTGCTCTTGCACCTTCTTCGCATGGACACTTTAACGGCCACTAAGGTCAGGATGTTAATCCTATATTCTCTTGTGCTGCTACTTTTAAATCTAAAAAGCAACGACAGGATATTTTGGTAGATAATGGAACCTTTGATCATCCGTCTTTATGTTCATACATGCACAAATGACTGCATCCTTCTGCTGTTGTGGGTATACTAGCTTAGGTTTGTGCTATTTACGAACCGATAGTAGGTAGTTAGAGATTGGAATCAACCTGATTCAGAATCTGTCACTGATCCTTCAAATGTACATACCCGCACAATGTTTGCAACTACTGCTACAGAAATATAATGATTATGCTCCTCTGGTTTGTGTTTTTCTATTGACAGAAACGAATATTGGAGTATACGAAGTTTGAAATGATGAAGACTGCTTTAAAAGCTTTTGCAAATCTAGGAGATGACGAGGAGCTTGGATCTGCTGACTGGCCTACAGTTATAAGACATATTTCAAGCTTGAAAGATTTAGAAGGGAGACAAGTTAATCCTCAAAATGGGTACGAAGCTGGAAGTCTTGACCCTAAGAATATAATGGACATACGTATACGCTTCTTAAATGGTATTTCACTATGCGTAGTAAATTCTTCTCATTGTCAAACTATTATCGTTCCAAAAGTGGCTATTGATTCGAGACTCTTACCTGTATCAGGTGTCCAGGCAGCTTACTGGGAGATGCTTGATGATGGGAGAATAACACAATGTACTGCTAATGTTTTGATGCAATCAGTAGACGAGGCACTTGACCTTGTTTCTACCAGTTCTTTAAGCGACTGGAGGGGTTTAGAACCACATGTTCATTTCCCAAATTACTACAAGTTTCTTCAATCAAAAATGATCCCCCGCAAGTTGGTCACGCATTTGATCGTTGAAAGACTGGAATCTGCTTGTTGCATTTCCTCTGCATTTCTATGTGCCCATAGGATTGCGCGACAGCAATTGCATGAATTCCTAGGTATGCATCACTCTGTTCTGTTATAACTTATAATATCTCTGCACAGACTAAAATACTGTTATCTATTTCTATCTGATCTGAGCCTCAAATGAAAACCTTTGGTCCATCATTAACCTGAGAATGAGCTTTCTTCTTTATCGCTGCTCCCAACCTCATCTGTCTCTCTTACTTATAATGTTTTCTTTACACAGGTAACAGTAACATTGCGTCTACTGTAATCAATGAAAGTGAGGGGGAAGGAGAAGAAGCAAAACAGGTCTTGGAAGATGTCCGTAATTCATTTCCTCAGGTTTGGAACCATAATACTTTTCTTGAACCCATAAATTTCATCAGCAATTTAGTAATATGCTGATATTGGCCAAAAATATTTGTCAGGTTTTGAGTGTTTTGAAAACAAGACAAGTAACACATTATGTGCTGAATCATCTAAATGGTTATATCAAAAACCTTGAGAAGGTTGGGCTGTTAGAAGGAAAAGAAGTTTCTCATCTTCAAGATGTTGTTCAGGTACCAATTTGTAGATTCTTTGTCCTCGTGTTTTCGCCACATGATTGAGCATCTCTCTCACTCTCATTCTCACTCTTCAGGCTGACTTGAAGAAGCTCCTGAGAAATCCTCCTTTACTAAAACTTCCAAATATAGACGATCTGATCACCAGCAATCCTTTATCGAAAGATCGCTCAAGCTTCATGAGTTTGGCCATTGGCGAGACAGATGCATGAACTGAGACTTTAGGTACCCAGGTTTCAGGACCGAGTCATGAACTCGTTTGTGTGCTTATACTCTTCTTCTTCTTCTTTTTATGACCAAAAACAAAAACAGTCCTTTCGTATATTTTTACTTCTTGGTATAGTTTTTACTTGTAGATTGTGGATTTGTGAACAAAAAAGTTCGCATTATTTTCATTTTAAACGCGTATATCTAAATAATTACGCTTATCAAAGCAAAAAGTATCTCATTATTGCCTCATTCATGGGTTAAAGATTATTTTAGTTATTAATCACACATATAGAGTATAATACAAAAATATGAAAAGTATCCTTAGAAAATAAAATGATTATGGTTACAATCCGAAAAGGAAAAAAACATTAACGAGAAAACAAATCGCGGTCGCTCTTTAAGCCAAAAACGCGTTAACTTGGAACCAAAGAAAGAAAGTCTATGACCATTTCAAACTCTGAACAGTGTACTTTAAACTAAACCTATAGTAATCACTTATATGCAAAACATATATAGATCCCAGAAATATTTAAATTCCCAAATTATAAATGAATTTGCAATAAGAAGAAAAATAAGAACGGGCCAACGCGTCTTGAGATTTTTCACGCGGTTCTTTTAACTCTCCCAACTCTTCTTCACTATAAACTCACGTCGGCAGTTCCAGCTTGCAGAGACACATCATCATCTCTATTACTAAACCAAACCGAGTAAACCGGGCAGAGAGAGGGAGAGAAATGAGTGAAAGAGAAGCTTCTCTAGTCCCAAAGAGAGGACAAGTCCTTAAAAGAGTTATGAGAGTTGTCTTCTTTTCTTGTCTTTGTTTCCCTTCCCGGAGAAGTATAAAATCATGTCTCCGATCATCTTCCTCTTCTTCTTATGTCACACCTTCTCTTGAAACCATCAAGCCTTAAAGGACATTTATAGGACCAAACCAAACTCAATTAGGATGAAATTAGATTCAAAACCCAATTCTCTGTTTTTTTTGTTCAACTTATTTTGTACCAATAAGTCAAAGACCATAAGCTCGATGGATGGTCTCTGAATCACCAAGAGGGTAGTAGGGGTCATTTCAGAATGTTGTAATAGTTCATGTATAAGCTACTATGCTTTTGTAACTTTACTTTTCTTTAGTAATTCTGCATTTTCAACACAGAAACTCGAAGTCTGTTTCAGTTTTTCTAATTTTCCCATATCATTTCAAGTTTACCAATCTTATGTAGCCTTGTTTAATACTACAAGTGAATGATACGGTAAAAAACAAAATTAGTACACTGGCTAAACTATTCTAATTGCATACCTGTGACAATGATAAGCCCTTGGAAAAGAAAAGCAGCATCCTCATATCGTACCTACAGAGAAGAGAAACCAAACTGCACTATAAAAAGCTTAACCATAGTAAGAACACACAAAAACAGAGACAAAGGAAGGTATCACATTCTTTTTTTAAAGATTACAGAGCGAAAATGTTGCCTCAGCTGCAAATCCAAAACAAGCTTAAGTCAGTAATAATCACTCTTCTTCTTCTAAAACTCGATAGATAGTAGAGAGAGATACGATGAGCCAAGAGTAAAGATGTGTGAACGAGAGAGTAGTACATATAGTTTTGGCCATCAATTTAAACATCTAAAGAAGAATTAAGAGATTAAAAGGCATTTCCCTGCGTCGACCAGCTGTCTCTATCTCTTTCTCCCACCACGTTCCCTCAAAGACAATGTTAGGATTTCTCCTGCTCCCACATTGTAATGTGCAAGAGACATGTTGTCCTTTAAGAACCCAGCTTTTCCACTTAACTTCTGTTTGTTTGCTGGAATTTGTATCTCCCCAGCTATTTTCTCCTTCAAACTTCCCACATTTTCGGATAATGACTGCACTGTGATCTCCATGACTTGCCCATCGTCCATGTTTGGCATAGAAACCCTGATTGTAGCCGGACCCTGAAAATGTATAAAACAGGTAAGATACAACTCAGAGGAAAGAAAAATGGCTAAGAAAATGATTCAAGAGACTGAAGAACACATTACCGGATGCTGAGCAAGATACTGGTCTTCTGGAACAAGGGCTGACTCGTCGAACTTTTGTCTCTTTGGCTCTGGTTCCTCAGGGAGAGGTGGTGGAGCCTCCTCGGGTGGTGGAGGAGGAGGCATCCCAGGCATAGGTGGTGGTTGCATCATCCCCATTGCAGACGGTGGAAGCTGACCATAAGGTCTAGGAATTTGCATAGGAGCAAACTGAGATCCCGGTGGAGGTGGCACATGCATACCAGGCTGTGCCATCATCTGTGGTGGTCGGTTCATCATCATCTGCGGGTGTCCTGGTGGCCCCGGCATCGAGAGCTGGTGTTGTTGATGCATGGGCTGCATCATTGGAACACCTAATGGCCTTGGTGCACCGGGGTACTGAGCAGAAGGGGGAGGACGAGGGAGGTTCAAGGCGAGATTAGGAGGTGGTGGCAATGGTCGGACTATTGGGACACCTGGTCGAGAAGGAGGAAGAGCAGCTGGACCAGGGAAGCTATTGGGATCTCCGTAAACGCCATCACCTTGCTCCTCTCCATTAGCGTTCTGAGTCAAGGCTTGGTTTGCTGTGCGACCAATACTTCCTGTGTGACCATCCCATATCACTTGCTTGGGCTGCTCATCTTTCTTCTTCTCAATCTCTGCTTTTACAGCATTTGAGACTTCTTCTTCGGTTGTTCCAAAGATATCCGGACGCAGGCGGGCCAACCCGACTATGTTTTTAGCAATCTCATCATCTTGTGCAAGAGTGGTTTCACGAATCTTAGCAAACATCCGATCCTTCTGTTCTTTGAACTTAGGATCAATAAGAGAGATTCTCATGTGCTCAGACATCTCGTTGATGGGAATCAGCTCGCCAGTAATTGGTGATACAACAACTTTAGTTGGATCTCTCTCTGTTGGGATCCTGTCTTCTGGCCTCTTCCAGTTCTTAACAATTCTCATAGGTGCTTCTTCATCATGTACATTTTCAATCTTAACACTCGCTTCTAGGTTTGCTGCTCTCATTCCTTCTGCAACAAGCTTAACTTCTTCTTCGTCCATTTCCATTTCGACCTCCTTTCCAGGCTCAACAATTTCATCTTCTTCCATTGCTGATGCTTTGCTCCTCCTTATAACCTCGTCAAGTGTCATAGGTGGTGGTAACTCTTCATCTTCCTCGTCCGCAAAATCTATCGACTCAACAACCACAAAATCATGCCAATCAATCATAGCCATCTGCACTCGCTCCAGCTCTTTCTCATCCTCTTCTTTCTTCTTCTGCTGCTCCTGAGAACGATCCCATTCAAGACGATGCAAACAACGCTCAAGAACAGTTGTCAAATCAGCAGCACTCTTTCTCAGCTTTTCTTTCAAATCTTTGGGAGGCATTAAAACTTCTGAATACGCATCAACCAAAGAAGTAAAAAAAGTGAACATGCTATGTGTTGGCTTCATAAACTGAAACTGAGGATTGTTGATCTCTCTACTAGTCAATCCTGTCAAAAACGATTTCCCATTCCGTGCCACAAACTGTGCTGTGAGCTTAATAATATCAAGCTCTTCGCCTGTGATCCCTTCAGGAAGTCTAACTGTATACTTCTCAGGTTCCGGAGGTTCTAGAGGCTTAGGAGGAATCCTAAACTGAGCCTGAAGATCGGGTTGTGCATCATTTGCTTCAGACTCAACAGCAGTAGCTGTAGTATCAAGTTGGGGATCTGTACCATCTGCATCATCAGTACCCTGAGCACCGTCTTTATTCTGAGCACGGTATTCAGTGAGCTTGTGCTGGTAAAAGGCATGATAAGGATCTGAGCTCTTCAAAAAGTTGAACTTGGCATTCTTTTCATTACTAACTATAATCCTCTTTTCAAACTCCAACCCATTTTTCGAAACGAACTGAGCCGTTTTCTCAACAATAGTTCTGATATCTGGAGGTGGATGAATGATTCCGATAGTCCTTGTGTGAGTGGCAACAGCCGCCGGAGCTTGATTTGAATTGTTTTGCTCTGCTTGCAACTCCATCTCTTCGACTTCCTGATCCGTTAATTGCGACGGAGGAAGTGGACCTAACTTCCCGTCGGCAGGAGGAGCCTCCAGTGGCAGTATCTGCATCGAGCTGAACATTTTCTGCAACCAGAAAAAAAATCAAAAAATTCACAATAACTTTTAGACCTAATTGATTGGTTAAACTCTCAGCTCTAGAAAGTATAAACTAACAAATCTACGGAAATTGGTTGATAAAACGGAGATAAAATCGGAAAAACTTCGATTGGAGAAGGTAGAAATCCTGAAACTAAGATGCGAGAGAAGGAGATCGACAGAGAAAAAAGGGAATCGGCATAGCTGAGGATTTTGGAGAGAGATAAAGAAACACCGTACCTCAGCCGGTATGGAACAGTTACGCCGCGAGAATCGCCGTGACGTCGAGAAGAAGCGGAGGACGGAACCAGCTGGAGATGTGAAGCTTTACTTACAAGACGGACGATTTGATAAAACAAATCGATACAAGTAACAGTCGACGGAAAATGAAGAAGATACTCTTGAATCTGAGCCCGAGGATTTATGAACGAACCTCGTATTCAGTTGGCTAATGGGCCTTTAACGGGCTTGACATTTCGCTCGATTAAATAATGGTATAAGTTTGAACGTTTTGGATTCAATGCGGTTTGGAGTTTTTTGACAGTGAAAGAAAGCGGTGTGACTGAAATACTAGTGACAAAGTTTTCTCTGTTTTTTTTTTGCCAGTCTCTGCAAAGTCGCATGATCATGTTTTTGACTCTAGAGTTGGAGTGCTTTTGAAATACATCATAACAGTGTTCCCAAACATTTTAACTATTCGTTAATTCAAATGCAAAACTCATTTGCTCTTCTGAGATCGATCCATTTTGAAAAAGGTCTTAGAAACATCACGAGTTCAAATCAATTCAACCTCATGGAAGATCACCTCAAACCTTTCGTGAACAACTAAAATTTTAAGAATATATAGATGATTTGTTGCGCTACATTATACAACCACCTAAATTTTCATGATAAGGTACTAAAAACTCTTTTGGTTTTACTTGCTTTTAAGGCCAGCGTCAATCGATTATTCCCTTTAACAAAGAGGTTTGCAAAGGAGGAAAATGGCAAAGAACAAAAAGCACGACATGCAAAACAGAGAACTTATACCAATTTTGTTGTTTTATAACCGAACAACCGAATCTAGAAAGCTTATGCAAGGTGTTATGATTATGAGCAAGGAATTCAGAAAATTAAGCTCGGTTCCTCAAATCTGTTCCAGTTCAGCTGCAAAATATTGAAGAGCCATTAATAGGTCGTATACGCATCAATCAAATCAGTGAAAATATGTGAACATTCTATGAGTTGGCTTCGAAAAGTAAAACCAAGGATTGTTAATCTCTCTACTCGTGATCAATCCCTTGAAGAACCATCTCCCATTACGCGCCCCTGACTGTAATGTGAGAGTGTGAGGTTGATAATATCAAGCTCCTCGCCCGTGATCCATCAAGAAGTCTAAATGTATACTTTTAGAGGAACTCTATCAAAAACTTGATCTGAGCAGTGAGCATTTCAAAAAATTAAACTTTTAGCATTATGGACGATATTATTTAGAATCCTCTTCTCATACTCTACTCTAACACGTGTTTGGAAACAAACTTAGCCGAGACAGCAAGACAAGGAGTTCTGGTCTAAGGAGGTGACAGCATCAGCGTAGAACCGAACATTTTCTACAACCAGAGGAGATAACCCATGTTTAAAGCCTACAAGGTTCTCAATGTTTCAACTAACATCTTAACTATTCTAATTGCGTGTGTACCTTCGACAATGATGAGCCCGTGGAAAACAAGCAAAGCAGCATCCTCGTATCGTACCTACAAAGAAGAGAAACAAAACTTCACTAAAGATGCTTAACAACAGTAAGAACGCACAAAGCAAAGTATCAAATATGTTCTTTTAAGATTACAGAACAAAACGTTGCCCCAAAACTAGCTGCACATCCAAAACACACGTAAGTTAGTAATAGTAGAGATATGATGAGCCAAGAGTAAAGAGGTGTGCATAAGAGAGCAATACATATAGCTTTGGCCACCAATAAAAACCATCTATTAAAGAAGAAGAATTAAGAGATTAAAAGGCATTTCCCTGTGTCCACCGACGATCTCTATCTCTTTCTCCCACCACGTTCTCTCAAAGACAGTGTAAGGATTTCTCCTGCTCCCACATTGTAATGTGCAAGTGACATGTTGTCCTTTAAGAATCCAGCTTTTCCACTTAACTTTTGTTTGTTTGCTGGAATTTGCATCTCCCCTGCTATTTTCTCCTTCAAACTTCCCACGTTTTCGGATAACGACTCCACTGTAATCTCCATGACTTGTCCATCATTCACGTTTGGCTTAGAAACCCTGATTGTAGCCGGACCCTGAAAATATGTAAAACAGGTAAGACACCACTCAGACGAAAGAAGAAAGAAAAATATAAGAAAATGACTCAAGAATGGAAGAAAATATTACCGGATGCTGAGCAAGAAACTGGTCTTCTGGAACAAGGGCTGACTCATCGAACTTTTGTCTCTTTGGCTCTGGCTCCTCAGGAAGAGGCGGTGGTGCCTCCCCGGGTGGTGGTGGAGGAGGCATTTCTGTCGTAGGTGGTGGGTGCATCATCCCCATTGAAAGCTGTGGAAGCTGACCATAAGGTTGAAGAACTTGAAGATGAGAAAACTGAGATTCCAGTGGAGGCGGCACATGCATAACAGGCTGCATTTGTGGTGGTCGATTCATCATCATCGAAGGGTGTCCATGTGGCCCTGGCATAGAGAGCTGGTGTTGTTGATACATGGGCTGCATCATTGGAACACCTAATGGCCTTGGTGCACCGAGGTACTGAACAGAAGGAGGAGGACGAGGGAGGTTCAAGGCGAGATTAGGAGGGGGTGGCAATGGCCGCACTGTTGGGACACCTGGTCGAGGAGGAGGAAGAGCGGCTGGACCAGGGAAGCTATTTGGATCTCCGTAAACGCCATTGCCTTGCTCTCCATTGGAGTTCTGAGTCAAGGCGTGGTTTGCTGTGCGACCAATACTTCCAGTGTGACCATCCCATATTACTTGTTTTGGTTGCTCATCTTTCTTCTCAATCTCTGCTTTTACAGCATTTGAGACTTCTTCTTCAGTTGTTCCAAAGATATCAGGACGCAGGCGGGCCAACCCGACAATGTTTTTAGCAATCTCATCATCTTGTGCAAGAGTGGTTTCACGAATCTTAGCAAACATCCGATCCTTCTGTTCTTTGAACTTAGGATCGATAAGAGAAATCCTCATGTGCTCAGACATCTCGGTAATGGGAATGAGCTCACCAGTAATTGGTGATATAACAACTTTACTCGAATCTCTCTCTGTCAGAAACCTATCTTCTGGCCTCTTCCAGTTCTTAACAATTCTCATTGGTGCTTCTTCACAGTGTACATTTTCAATCTCCACAGAGCCAACAAACTCTTCTAGGTTCGCTGCTCTCATTCCTTCTGCAACAAGCTTAACTTCTTCTTCATCCATTTCCATTTCAACCTCCTTTTCAGGCTCAACAATTTCATCTTCTTCCATGGCAGAAACTTTGCTCCTCCTTATAACCTCCTCAAGTGTCATAGGCATTGGCATCTCTTCATCTTCCTCGTCTGCAAAATCTATTGTCTCGACAACTGCAAAATCATGCCAATCAATCAAAGCCATCTGCACTCTCTCTTTCTCTTTCTCATCCTCTTCTTTCTTCCTTTCCTCCTCCTGGGAACGATCCCATTCAAGCCGATTCAAACAACGCTCAAGAACAGTCGTCAAATCAGCCACACTCTTTCTCAGCTTTCCTTTCAAATCTCTTGGAGGCATCAATACTTCAGAATACGCATCAACCAGAGAAGTGAAAAAAGTGAACATACTATGTGTTGGCTTCATAAACTGAAACAGAGGATTGTTCATCTCTCTACTCATCAATCCCCTTAAAAACAATTCCCCATTCCGCGCCACAAACTGCGCTGTGTGCTTAATAATATCAAGCTCCTCCTCCATGATCCCTGTAGGAAGTCTGACTGTATACTTCTCAGGTTCAGGAGCTTCTAAAGTCTTACGAGGAACCCTAAATTGAGCCTGAAGGTCAGGTTTTGCATCAGACTCATCAGCAGAAGCAGCAAAATCAAATTGGGGATCTTCTGTATCATCTAAAGTACACTGAGCTCGGTCTTGAATCTGAGCACAGTACTCAGTGATCTTGTGCTGGTAAAAGGCATGATAAGGATTTTCAATTTTCAAAAAGTTGAAATTAGGATTCTTTGCTTTCTCGGTTTTAACTTTGTTTTCAAACTCCAAACCGTTTTGCGAAACAAACTGAGCTGTTTTCTCAACAATAGTTCTGATATCTGGAGGTGGATGAATCATTCCTATAGTCTTCGTATGAGTAGCCACAGCCACGGGAGCTTGAACTGAATTTTTTTGCTCTGTTTGCAACTCTCTCTCTTTGATTTCTTGGTCTGTTAATTGCGACGGAGGAAGTGGACCTAGATTACCGTCAGCAGGGGGAGCCTCCAGTGGCAGAATCTGCATTGGATTGAACATTTTTCTGCAACCAGCAAAATAAAACACATTAGCATCAAATTCTGATGAAAAAAGGAATTAATATCAAATTTGAGCATATTTGACCTGATTTAGTTGTTTAACTCTGCCCTAGAAACTATCTAATCATCTGAAATAGGTTGATTAAGCGGGAAAAAAATCGTAAGAACCATAATTTATTTCGATTGGAAGAAGGCAGAATCCTAAAAACCAAGATACGGAGAGAAATAAGAAACATACCGTATACCTCAGCCGGTAAGGAACAGAACCGCCGCGAGAATCGCCGTGACGTGGAGGAGAAGCGAAGGACGGAGCAAATTCGTGATCTAAAAAGCTTACGAGACGATCGATGGATGTCAATCTTCGAGGGAAGAGAGAAACGGCGTCCTAGAATTAATATGTATCGTGTTCATGTTTGTTATTGGGCTTTTACTTTTTGAGTTGGGCTTACATTTTGGTCCATATTTAATTATTAGACCGACTTAATCATGCAAGTACAATGATTTTCTCTTTACGAGGCATCATTTACAATTACATTATTAAAATTTGAAATTGTTGAATATTATACTAAAACAAGAAATATTAGAATAATAGAAGAAGAGAGACGTGAGAGAGTATTGAAGTGGACGACTTATTATTGTTGTGTGTATCTCATTTACAATGAAGGGAAGGACGTATTTATACTAGTATTAGCTTGGAGACCAAGCTACTTAGTGAACAAGTACTTAGAGGCTAAGGAGCTTAGGGAGTAAGTTGTATATGGATAATCACATGGGACATTATCCAATTTAATTATAATACTCCCCCTTGATTATCCATAATTACGTACTGCCTCGTTAAAAACCTTATCATGGAAAAACCCATTGGGATAAAAACCATGACAAGGGAAAAAGAGTACAGTAGCGTAATCTCCCCCTGGAAAAGATAAGTATAATCTTATC